AGAGCCGAAGCCTGTGAGCAAGCACCCAGAGCCTGCAGAGGAAATCCTAAATATTCCAGTCACAAACAAGCAAGATTCAGCCAAAGACAAGATATCCGAGAGCTCCTCCAACACTAGGGACAGTGTCGATGAGCAGGGTCTCTGGGAATTATCTGAAACCATGTACCGCAGCAGAGCTGCCCGCTGGAACAAAGCCTCTGTGATCTTTGAGGTGGAAAGCCACCACAAATTCCTTAATGTAGCACTTTGGTGCAAGGACCCCTTCAAGCTTGGTAGTCTCTTGTGCTTAGGGCACGTCAGCTTGCGCTTGGAACACATTGCACTGGAATGCTTAGCTATGTCATCTGCTGAATATCAGAGCACCTTTCGTCTATGTGCTCCTGAACCACGGGCCAGCGTCAGCCGTACTGCTTTGCGCAGCTTGAGCACTCACAAAGGTTTCAACGAGAAACTCTGCTATGGAGATGTTACACTCAACTTCACTTACCTTGCAGATGGGGAGTCAGACCTCTCCAGTGGACTGGTAGAACGTGAGTGGGAAGGAAGTCTTCAGGGAGAGGACTTAAAAGACCGGGAAAAGGAACGAGAGCAGGTACTCACTGCAACCCGGGATGAACCAAGGTACAGCGGCATGCAGTTCGGAGATATGCGGCACAATTTTCAAGACACTCAGTTCCAGAATCCCACTTATTGCGATTATTGCAAGAAGAAGGTGTGGACCAAGGCTGCCTCGCAGTGCATGACCTGTTCTTATGTCTGTCACAAGAAGTGTCAGGAGAAGTGTCTAACAGAGTTCCCTAATTGCGTAGCTGCCTCAGTCCGACGTGGAGCAGATCCTGAGGCCAAGTCTACCATCAATCGGGCAACTACTGGCCTTACACGTCACATTATCAACACTAGCTCTCGACTCCTCAATCTGAGGCAGGTGCCCAAAGCCAGACTTGCAGAACAGGTTGCAGAAATGGGATCAGGGGCGGTGGAGCCTTCTCCGAAACAGACACCTAACACATCTGACAATGAGAGCAGTGACACAGAGACCTATACTGGGGCCAGTCCTTCCAAGCAGCCACCTGGTAGCGGTGGCTCCAAACTGGTGCGCAAGGAAGGTGGGCTGGATGACAGTGTCTTCATTGCCGTCAAAGAGATTGGTCGAGATCTTTACCGTGGCCTCCCAACAGATGAGCGTTCACAGAAACTGGAGTTGATGTTGGACAAGTTGCAGCAGGAGATTGACCAGGAGCTGGAGCATAACAACTGTTTGAGTGTTGAAGAGCGAGAAACGATTGACTCCCGACGCAAGGCCCTCGTCTCAGCAGCTCTGGCCAAGTCCGGTGAACGACTCCAAGCTTTGACTCTGCTCATGATTCACTACCGTGCTGGCATCGAAGACCTAGAGTCTGTAGAAAGCACCTCACCATCTGAACAGCATGGCTTTCCGAAGACCAAAACTGAGGGTCTGGAGGAGGCACTGATGGGCACAGAAGTGTACGACAGTGACATTTGCAGTCCTGTTGATGTTCAGATACTGGATGAGATTACAGAGGAGCAGATCTGTGTAGAGGCATTACCGTAAAGATGACAAAAGGCATCAGGGGCTTGGGATTCAAGAACAAAGACTTTTTCTCAAGTATGACTTGGTTGACCTGTGGGTGTTCCACAGGTGATTGTGAGGTTTGCAAAAGTATTCCTAAAGATGTACTGACAATTGTGGAATTTTGTGAGAGTGTCAGTAGTTTACCAATTTTTTTTTTTTACATTTTAAATTTTTTTAAATAAATATTTTCCCCCATCTTTAGTCCTTAGTTACTGTTTTAGTGGACAGAATCATCACTCTGTAGACTTTTGGCAGTATTACATCATACACAGAATATGAGTTCCCATGACATGATCAAACCAAGTTTTACCTGCCTTACCTAAAAGGTGCAGTAAAGTTTTTTACATAACAAGCTTCAATAAGGAGAGGTGTGAGCTTGAAGCAAGATGAGCTTGAATACATATTTTTATTTTAACTTTGTGTATTGGTAGAGACTGAATTATATACATGTATGCTCTTAGTTACATCCATGGTTGGAAATATACCCTGTCCATTGTGTTTTAAGCTTCAAGCCCCTCTGCCTTACACTATATCCACTACAAAATGTAGGATTATATCCTGAACAACAGTCCATAGAACATGATGCCATTCCTAACCAACATTTTTCTCTCTGATAAGCACCTTTTGTTGCTAATTGTTGTTCATTTTAAAGCATAATTTCTTTAATGTTCATGTTTTGTTATTTTTAGAATGTTTAATGTTGAACTGAGAGGGAACCCTCATAGGACAGATAATCTAGAAGTTATTATTCTACTGGGGACCATTCTTTATCTAATTTAAATTTGTCACAAAGCCAATGTGACTTCTTTTTTTGAGGGAAGTATATTTATATTGCATATGTATGTTTCATAATATATGTTTCCAATAATTGTCATTATATAATCTCACAATTAATTTGTTTTGATCCTTTATGAGTTCTAAAATGGTGGCGATTTTTCTCAAACCAATTTGGATACTTTTTTATCCACCATCAGTTGGTCCAGGGTGAATGATTATGTATGTGTGAATGTGTCAGCCTGTTCGTTTTTGGTTTGATTTAAGTATTGGAATGTGTAATTTTATTATCATGCAAGCAAACTTTCAGTATGTCTCACATCTGTGTGCTTTGGCATGCATTGTTGTCATTGAAAGTTGATTTTACGTGTACTAATGAATTTATCTCCCAAATGACTCACTTTACATTCATTATTCCGTTCGCCTCTCAACACATCTCTCAAAGTGTAAAACTACATCATTAAAAACTCTCTTTTGTCAATGCATACAGTATTCCTTAATTCCCAAAGCTAATGTGTAAATTCATGAACAGTCTGTAACCTGTCTGCTGGGCTCAAAAGCTGAGTCAATTGTAGCCTCTGTCTGTGTATTGCTGGTTAGTTTTCATTTACTTTAAATGGACTTGGATTTGATCAAAGAAAGTCTTTATTGCTGTTACTACATGCGGTTTACACATGAACAACTGTAATTGGCTACATGCATTACTGGATCTGCTTTCCTGATTTAAAGCTTTTTAGTAAAAACAAATGACTAGGCCTTTAGGTGGCGAGGACAAAACTCCTAATCCAGGCGTGGCCAACTTCGGTCCTGGAGACCCACAGTCCTGCAGAGTTTTGCTCCAACTCTGATTAAAAACTGACCTGCCTGTAGCTTTCTAGTAACCCTTATGCCGAGTTCACACTGCACGATTTTAGCCCAATTTTTCACTCGCCGACAGGTTTTGCGAAATCGCCGACAAATGCCCGAAATCGGAGGCAAATCAGTGCTCGTTCACGCGAGTGACAATCACGCAGTGTGAATTATCAAAGACGCGATCTGAGGGAATCGCCGACGCGTTGCCGACGCCCGTGAAATATTTGGCATGCTAAATATCTGGAGCTGTCGGCGATTCACAATCACGCTGTGTGCAATGAGTTCTGACTGAAAAACACATCGGCGATGACCAACAGCCAATGAGAGACCAAGATACAGGGCAGCGGGAAGTTTGGGGAGGAGTTAAATGAAACGTAGTTTGCGGGCAAGTGTTGCCAAATCCGCGATTGCCGCCGGTTGTTTTTTATGTCAGCAGTTTGAAGCGACCCCAATAAGGTGATATTTAGGCCCTGGAATGTGAATTGTACCAGGAGAACCCGGCAAAAAAAATGTGTATTTTACCCCCGAACATGATTTTTATTGGGGGACCCCCTCGAAAGCAATTGGGCTATTTTCAGGCTAGTTTTGAGTAGTAATTGGGCGGGTTTTGTAGTGAAAACCTGGCAACCCTGCACCAGACAGCACTGTCGGCGATTCTTCCTATTGTTAAGTCATGCAGTGTGTAACCTCCTGTCGTCGTTCCATCGTGCAGTGTGAACACAGCAACAACTGAATGCTACCCCAGATAGTTGTTCAGTGTGAAACCAACAGTGATGCGACGTCTTTGAAAATCGTGCAGTGTGAACTAGGCATAAGACCTTGATTAGCTTGATCAGGTGTGTTTGATTAGAGTTGGAGCGACACTTTGTAGGACTGTGGCTCTCCAGGACAGAAGTCCTAGTCTTGTCCTAGTCCAACCAATCTGTGTTAACAGTCGTGCTGTCCTTGTTAACGTTTCTGCTGCTATATCATCTATTCAGTGGGCCTGGGACATCATTTTTAAGGTTTGGTCCCCCTCACCCTGGCTCCAATGAGTATGTATCACCATAGAGGACCTTAGTGGGCCCCTCTGGTCACAGGGCCTTGGACAGCAGACACTATTCAGCTAGTGTAGAATTGGTCTGTTTTTGCTTGTGCAATATTTGCATAAGTTCATTACCACTCAAACCATAAAGGAATTTTTCCTTTTGATTCACTTGAAGGAATAACATTAAATGGTAAGCTTTCTAAATTAGTCATAAAATGACTAAAGATTTTTTTTTTTTTTGCCGCCTTGTCTAGTTGCTGCTGCTGTAATCCTGTGCTTCTCAATACAACACCACCATCATATGCTATCTTTATCACAATAAGAAAACCAAAAAAAAAAAAAAGTAAAATAACAAGTACAAAACATCACATCCTCTTTGGCAAACTGGTTAAGTTTTTCTAGGAAAGCTCTTGTTCTTATTGGTAGCTGTGTCATGTTTTAAAGCGCTATTGTAAATAGCCTAGTAATGTAGGTGACTTTAAACCCTGTTCTTTCTCCATGAACTTATATAGTGTTCAACATGTGGGTTCATCCTTCCTTTCTTTGTTGTTGTTGTTGTTTTTGCTTAATGTAAATATGATTTTGTTCTTTTGTGGGTTTTATTTATGGTGGAGGGCATCTTCCGACAAAGTGCACAGCTTTTAAACTTGCTGCAAGACCTTTACACACTGACATATCATATTTGCTTATGCACTTCAGATAAATAAATTATTAGAAATGAAAAAAAGTTCCTCTGTAATTTTTGCACCTTCCCATTCTTCCCATACACTAATACTGCAGTAGTATTCATTTTTAGGTAATCTGTGTTTATTTTTGCTACACTTGATAACCGAGAAGCCAGTTGCGATGGTATGAAACCAGTGAGAAGAGAATGCCGTGTTGTGCACAAGATACTTCAAAAGATGTGAGTGCAACACTCAAGTACATCCATCTAGCTTGTGTTAAATGTGTGAATGACTCCTTACGTTTAGTGGGCAAAACTGTATGGCCAGTCACTTCTGAAAACCCTGCAAGCTGATATCAGGATTATTATAAACTAAACGTTCATAACATTAGCCATTAATAAGACATTGGGAGCAGGTGGCATTTAGTGGTTAGTGGTGAACCCATTAACAAGATTGCCACACTGCACAATCAATAACAGGAAATAACACTCTTAAACCTTGGTCCAATTGAGTAAAGCAAAGAACATTTTTAAATCAATAGAACATATTAAAGTTCGATTTGATTGGATTTTCATTGGATAATGCAGTCTTGAATTGTCATTCTAGCTGGTTCTCTTTTCATTCCAGTATTGTATGAACTAAAATGATTTGTCAATCATGTAAAGTCTGTTTTGTTTGCAAAATGATTAAGATCATTGGGGAAAATCAAGCATAGTGTGTTTTTAAACATTTATTTTCTGTTGCGGTCACACACACATTACGTTCAGAGCTCTAAAGCTGATGTAAAACCTAACCACCAGACCAAACACTGGATATAAAACCATCAGCTCAACCTCCTAGTTGATAGTTTAAACACAAACAAGACATACCAGTCTGAAGGCACACACTGACATTGGCACAGACACTAATTTCTGATAAAACAATTTGAAAATAAATGACATAATACTCTTCTTAACCCTTACTGGGTAAACAGGTTAAAAACGACATCGAGGTTAAAGTACACTGCTGCAACTCAAAACATCAATGTCAACGAATCGACCTGTGCAGCGTCACTGGCGAATTTTGTCTGCTTACTCGCGCGCATTTGTTCTGTCCACAACTGCAGGTGTAATGATAACAGATTGGGAGCAGTGCACCGTTCCTCACATCTAACACAAACATCCTCCAGTTGTGCAGATACTTAAAGCTGAGCTAACGTGATTTTTCTCAAAGGCTAGTTCTGGTCGCAACTGTTGCGTTAAACTGATTGTAGCTCCAGAGGAAAACATGCTGTGTATCAAATCCATGATTTTATTTTCCTGTGGGCAATAAAAAAATGTTTCCCTCAGTACATCAATTCCAAGAAAATAAAGGAGAATCAAGCTATATTGAAGACTTATTTCTAAACTATTTCACTTGTTCTAGTCAGATAATTTACCTCCAAAACCAACTAGTATGAAAAAGCCCGATATAATCTATTTGATAAACAAAAGATGGGAATTAGACATGTTTTTAATATTGGATTAAGCTGTCATTTAGCATATGAAGAATAGGGCCCATGAAACAATAAGACTGTTTCTGAATTCTGTTTCTCAAAAACACATTTACAGCTGAGCTACACTTGCCATTAAATAGTGTTTGCAGCAGGTTGTCTGATTTTAAGGCATAGAATGTGTATTTATTTAATAATAATAATAATAAATAAAAAAGACCATTGACCCTGCACAGACACCTGACTTGATAATTAAAAGAACACTCCACTATTTTTGAAAATAGGCTCATTTTCCAACTCCCCTAGAGTTAAACAGTTGAGTTTTACCATTTTCGAATCCATTCAGCCGATCTCCGGGTCTGGCGGTAGCACTTTTAGCTGTAGCTTCTGATTAGACCGTTAGCATCTCGCTCAAAAATGACCAAAGAGTTTCTATATTTTTCCTATTTAAAACTTGACTCTTCTGTAGTTACATCGTGTACTAAGGCGCTGCGTAATATCATTGCACCTGCTGCATCCATGGTACGGCAGCAAAGTTCCTTGATTATTATGCCGGAATGAAAGTATAGCTCCTAGCCATATCGGCCTAGAAAATCACAACTTTTCATTTTCCGTCGGTCTTAGTACACGATGTAACTACAAAAGAGTCAAGTTTTAAATAGGAAAAATATAGAAACTCTTTGGTCATTTTTGAGCGAGATGCTAACGGTCTAATCAGATTAAATGATCTATGCTAAGCTGCAGCTAAAAGTGCTACCGCCAGACCCGGAGATCGGCTGAATGGATTCGAAAACGGTAAAACTCAACTGTTTAACTCTAGGGGAGTTGGAAAATGAGCCTATTTTCAAAAATAGTGGAGTGTTCCTTTAAGCTCCTTGGCTCAGACAAATAAATAAACTAAATAAATATTTGAATTCTTGATAAAACCCCAGTAATTTTATATATGGCTTTCAATTTAAGGCCATGTTTAATTTCACAGCCAGTTCAGTTCTTTTAAAGATTAATAACACATTAGAGGAAAACAGAGGAAAATGAAAAGTCAAAAATGGGAAAGAGAAGTATTGAGGCATTCTCTACAAATGAACGGATTAGCATTCCAGCACATTCAAAGGACTTACTAAAAAATATATATATATATACTATATACACTTTAAAAGCAAAATATAATCTAAAGTACCTAAAGTATCTGGATGCTTTACAGCAATAATTTACTTTTCTTTAACTAATCTGAAACAGTTTGTCACCATGTGTATTCAAAATTTAGCTGTGGCTCATCTTTGATAATACAGTACATCATTTTTAGTGACATCGCGCAAGTCACACAAACGGAACGTGACAGGAGAACTTGTTGACATTCTGCTTGATTATCTGATGCTGTCAGACCTTTTGCTTTTTCAAAAAGCAAAACATAAAACAAAAAAACAAGACATTTGAAATGTTGAAAATGACGTGTTTGAGAGAGGCGGGGCATAGAGGACCTACAATAATGTACAGTATTTGAAAAATAATGTGTTTTTTGAACATTAAAGCATGTCAACATATTCTGTTACACCAAATACACCAAATAATGATCTTAAAAATAGCATCATATGACCCCTTTAAGCTTAGGACCTACACTCCAATCAAAAGCCTAAATTAAAACAAGAGCAATGGAATCAAATAATGTACCAGATTTGAAGAAAAAATTCAAGTTTTAATTTGCCTAAAATGTTCTTCAGCTGTTCTCTATAATGTATTATGTAGTTTGAACTGATTATGATACGAATAGCAACATTTTAAGGCCCATTTCAAGGTGAGATATAATCCA